CCTGCTGCGTAGATAAAGAGGGGTCATCAGCCTCCAGGGCTGTGAGGCAATACCTTCACAAACTCTACATTCATACGGTATTTGGTCCTCATTCCAGAATGATAAATGAGGTGCGTAATGTTGAGAAATACATGTCATTGACATAGCAGGCTCAATAAAAAACCCACTCCCAGCATTTTGCAAATGACAGATTACCAGCCTTGCTTATTCACACAATAGCCATTTGAATCAAAAGGTTTTTTGCATCTTGTATTTTTTCTTTAATTGCTAGCTAAAGCAGCCACATCTATTTCCTATAGCCAGAGTCTGTCTTTCTCACACAAGTAGTTCTGGTTACTTTTGCGGGACAGTTCATGAAAGTACAAATGAACAAGATCTGGCTCAAAATGTACAAGAATGTGGATTTTTAAAGCAAGGCATTTCACTTTTATCTGCTTACAGCAAAACCCAGTAGTGCGATAAAGGTGCACTAGTGAATATGCAATGTAGTCTGGTGATTTGGTAGCACTGGTCCTAATTGGTTCCTACCATTGATAATTAGCATGACAATATAATCTAAATATATGCATTTAATCACATCTCTTCAAACAGAGACTTGTTTTTCTTTGTCCAAAATAAATATGCATTCTGTACTTTATAGGAAGTCCTGTAATTAATCTCATTTATATAATTTATCATATTTTATCTCAAGTCATATCAAATGATGTTGAACTCAAATTTGCATAATACATTTTACTCTTATAATAAAGTTCTGATAAAATCATAGAGACGTATTTCTGCAAAGTGCAAAGGCAATAAATAGCAAATAGTGATCTCTTAATCTGCTTCTTCAAATCTGGCACACTCCAAAATAATTTTATTGTTGTTTCCACTGTCTTTTTTATACATAGTGTACATATATTTTGAAACATCGTGACCACACCACAACTGAATCTGCTTAAGAGCAGTTCTTGAAATTAACTGTTAGTGACTGCACTGATTGGCAATCAGAATCAGAAACCTCCAGCTTTACTTTATGGCTATAATGGAAAATTCACTGTAAGGATATAGGGTCACAACAGGTCTTGCTTCAGAAGGATGGAGTACACGAATGCTCAGGAAACTATAACTCAGTTCCCAACTGAGGGCCGAATCTGAACTCAAGCAGAGAGTGATATTTAACTCCCACCACTTGTCTGTATGCCTAATATCTTCTCTGAGATGAACTGATGCCAAACCGAACCATTCTCGCCCCAGCAGCGTAGACTGCTCCCCATGAGAAACTGAGGAACAACATGGAGCCACCAAGTACAACGCAAAACTTCAGTGTCAGTCTTCAATCTGGATTTCCACTTAAAATATCCATCCCAGAAAATGAGGTGCTAAAATATTGAATTTATTTAACAAACCAGCCACTGCATAAATCGGTTCTCAATTCTTTATGTGAAAACCAGAGAAATAAACAAATTTGTGAGATGAATTCACAATCAGTTCTTTAGAAGAATTAATGACAAGGAACGTTTTGACTCACTTTTAGCCCAAGACACTTCTGCTCTTAGACTTGCAGAAGACAGAAGTACTGAATGAACACTGTCACAGACTTAGTCACAGAAATAATAAAAATGCAAGTACTGACAATTGCAACACTAATTTGGAGTTAGAATTGTTTGTTGCCATCTGAATAAAAAAATTATTTTTAAAAAATTTTTAGGTGCCCAGTGGGACAGTCTTGCAAGATTTTTCATGAACCTGCCAAGTGTAGATGAGAAGCTCAACTCTTATTAAATCTCCACAAATGGGAGCTGAGCTTGAAGAATAAATGGGGTCTAAGCACCTGCTTCAATGTTTTTGCTGAGTAAGAGTCTAAGAATGCATTCTAAAAAGTAATCCAAGTGTTTTCACCTCGGATGGGGAAATAAATCCTTGCCTAAATGATATTTCAGTCTTTGGACTATGCACATGTCAGTGTTTAGCTCAGGCGCATATGCTACACTGATCCCTTGCTGCCCAAGAGTGCCCTAATTTTGAAGGGAAAATAACCAATGAACGAGTCACAAAATATGTTTTCCTAAGTAACCTAGAAAATTACTTCTTTGCCAAGCAGAAAAAATAATTTTAAAAGTCATGAGCTGCTCAGAGCATTCTGAAAGAATGCATTAGAAAAGACTAATTTGCAGCAACACTTTTATCAATATCTACCCCCTGCCTTTACAGCGGTGTTTGTCTATCACCTAACCTTTAATGTGAGTAAGTAAAATCTATTTATCTTAGTTTATTCAACTTCTCCCTCCACTATGTATTCTAAATTGACAGAATTAGGTTTAGGCAGTATGTGTATGCACAAAAATAGTTGAAAAAGCCCTTGTTTATGCTTCACTGAATCTATGCCACACCTGGTTACCAACTCATATTTGCAGCATTCCTTATAGGAAATTAAAAAAGCTGACTTAGTCACCTGGAAATGAGCCATCTAAATAAGGCTTCCCTAAGTCATGAATATTAAGAAATGGAGTGAGTTATGCAATTGCTTTTGAGAGGAAGCGGGAGGGACAGGTCGGTTTATTCCCTGGCAAAGCCTCACCTAGTTTTGGACAGCCTTGTTAGAGAAGGGGGTTAAGGACTTTTTACGCTGACTTTCTAAAGCTTATTCAGACACCCCACATCTGTCAAAGGTGTGATTCAAAGGACCTAAGTCACCATCCACGTTTGGTGAAGGCTCCAGAAGATGACAGAGAACAACTTAGCCGGGTGCCTGAGGCAGCCTGAGGGAGGTGCTAACCATCCCAAAGACTTCTGCCGCATCTTCCATGTTTATGCTCGACTTCCTAAAAATACGTCTTGCCATTTGGAGCTGCCAGTTGTTGGAAATCATGATTTTTCTCGTCCTGTAACTGTGAGACTGTCCTAAAAAAATCAGGAATTTAAACAGCACTCTTCCCAGTGTTTACTTTGTGAGTTTTTCAGTCATTGCGCCACATTTTTAAAACGCTCTTCTCAGCCACAAGATCTAGAAACTTACTTGATAAGATTCTCACATAACCATTGTCTCCTGGAGCTGGGACCTCGAATTAACATGAAACAACTTGAGCCTTGCGATAAAATCATGAGAATTGGCAAGACGCGCATCTATTCACCTCAGAGGAAAATCCACCTCGTTAAACGTGTAACTCTCAGATACCAGATTACTCCTTGGGAGCACGGAGGAACGATCTGGCTCTGCCCAGAAAGCCGTCACGGGGATGGCTGTCACGGAGAGCACCCTCACCGTAGCACAACCCGGGGCAGCCGCATTGCCTTCGCCTCGGGCCAGGGATTTGTGCGCGGGGCCTTCCCCGAAAGGGATCCCCACCAGNGGGCGGCAGCGCTGCCGGAGGTGCGCTCCCCTCCTCTCTTCGCCTTAAAGGCAGCAAAATCTGGAAAAAAAATCCCTCATTTATGGTGACTACAACTCCCAACGCAGACCCGCTCGGCGAAATAGAAATTTGGGATTATAAACATGTGTGTATGTAAACAAAAGGTGTTTCTTCTGTTACCCTTCGTTTCCCACAGCATAAGCAATTTTTATTCAGACTTGAGTATTTTCTTTAACACTATACCGCTGTCAAAACATTATTCCCGTTTTGTTTGCTTTTGACAGCTGAGCAGTTCTTAAAAATACCAAAATCGGAACCTTCCATGCTAAACAGAAAATCTCAGATGGAGAAATCTCTGCGCGATATTGTACCTTGAATTTCAGCAAGACATCTCACGGAGAGCACAGCCCAAAAGGGGGAGAAAAAAAGAAAGAAAATAAAAGACAACACAGCAATGCACATATTTAGTTCATTATAAAAACAAATAATCTACTATGGCTACATTCTTCCCTGTCTTTCTAGCAATGTGATTTCTGACATTTCTCTTCAGATTCTAGAGAAAAAAATCTGCAAGGAAATAAAGTACTGTTAAAAAAATTAATTTAAAAGCCTCCCCTTTAAAGTGCTAACAGAAATAATCTTGCCTTCTTAAATTCTGCATCCACAAAACTCAGAGAATTTGGGAATGGGCACCCAGGCTGTGGTCTTCTTATGCGACTGAAGGGTCGATGTGATTTTAACCAGGACAGAGAGCATCAAAGCCGAGCAGGGAATTATAATCTAAATTTCATACGAAAGCCTTATAAGAGACGCCCACAAAGCAGGACCCGATTGCTAAATAAATTCTACTGGCATCCTCCCTTCTGTCACCAGCAGCGTGGGTCCATTTTCTCAGCTCAGAAATTAAACATTAACTAAGAGGTTGAGCCTCTTTCCACATTCCAAGGGTAAAAGTTGTCACTCACAGTTTTAGTTGCTTCAAAGTGCCAGAAGCTTTGGTTTAAGAAAAAAACAAACCTTTAACCATGATTCTACTCTAGCTATTTGTATACAAAATGTCAAATCAACATTCTTCTGTCCTTAGCTGATGGTTTGTTGTTTTGGTTTGGTTGGGTTTTTTTTGGTTTTTTTTTTTTTTTTTTCTGAAAACAGCTGAAGACAACAAAAGGAGTAAAACCATCTCGAAAGCTAGCTTATGCAATTTTCACATAGGAAAAATTCCCGTTGGAGTCAAAGCTTCTTTTCTTCTCCTAAAACTTCTAAACCTACTCCTGCAATAGAGCCATTCTTTGCCTCTGAGCTAAATACCTGGAGGTAAGGTCTGCTGCGGCTATGGACGCACACACGCGTACATGTACACACGGCATTAGTCATCCCATGTCCGGGCCTCCGCCACTCAAGCTCAGCTCCTATGCTCTTAGCAGGTAGCACAAGTATTAGACACACCTCTGAAATGCAAGCTGGTGAAACAATATTTCAAATTTTGTTTAATCTGGCAAAAATCTAATATCAGTAATCAGCAGAAATATATAACTTCAGACGGCGTTTCATTCAATTATTCTATTAATGTGATGACACACTTGTTTCTGATTTTTCCAGCATTTCTTCTCAATGCTCCATGATAACCTCAGAGTCTCCTAAACATGATTAAAAACACAAAAGCCTAGC